TACACGTTCAAGAAACTGCTAATGATTAGCCAAAAATTCAAAGTTTAGGCCTTGACAAAATTGTGATTGAGGAAAAACCCAATGACATCTAAACTGTAGAACTACAGGTCTCATTACAACCTCACCAATATTACCGTTATCTTTCATAAATCTTGCATTCTCCGCTGCTTTAATTTTTTCTTTTCCAAGCAGTTTTTCTAATTCGATAAACTGATCATAGCCTTGAAGCGATTAACTTCAGCTCAGTGCAACTTTTCAGCAACGATGAAAAAAAATCATGACAACCAACCCCAACCCAGAGTAGCAAAGGTACAAAAATTAAAAAGAGGAACAGTCTGGAGATGAGCGACACCTCTACAAAAGTTAATAAGTCTAAAACCATGTTGCAAGTTTTTTAAAATGGCTTTTAGACAAAACTTAAAGTGCACGAAGATGCAGTGGAAAAATTTTTTTTTGGAATAAAACTGTTTAGAGATCCTGGAAGAAATCAAGAGCTACTACGATCATAAATTTTCTCAAACATTACTAGTAAGTCTAAAAAATGCTAGTTGACGAAACAGCGATACCATGTTTTAAAATTTGAGTTTGTAAAATTACCTTTCCGAAAAGTGGTAGAACACGATCTAACTTTTTATCAGCATCCTCCTGTCCAATAGCTACTCCTCGACAATACTCGCTAAACGTTTTGCGAAGATGTAACATCGTCAGTGAACGCTCAGATTCCTCCATTTTACCCGCTCCACTAAATCGTTTGGATTACTACATAGTGCAGAAATAAAAATCGATTTTTTCGCTTCAAACAATCATCTTAACACTTCTGCTGATGATTTGTTATACTTAACTGACTGTGACACTCAGAATTCAGTCGTCTTTAAACCTTATTTAACCAGTTCAATCTACAGTAAAGGATGTAATAAGGGCCGGTACGAGTAACGTAGAGAAATAGTTTACTGACAAAAAGCTTTCTGTTTCTCAACTACTTTTAAACAATTGTCATCCCGTTTAAATGCCGCAGAATTCATGACAAAAGTTAAAGAAAGCGTTGCTAACAAAATTTCTGGTCGACAATGAATTTGCTTGGAACAAGCTGAGCGTTAACGCTTAACAATAATAAAAGACTTCTTGAAAATTAGACGAATCACATTGACTTCACCAGGTATGCCTCCTAAACCGGCGTCCTCAACATCCAAAATAATCAATCTGAGACAAGTTTCATACCCAACATATCACCCTCTCAAAAACCTTTATCTCTCTTAAATCCACTTCACATCAGATCACCATCATTTCCACTGTATCTTAAAACATTAATTTTAACAGTTTAAGTTCTCGGTTATTCAGAGAGGAACAACAAACAACTGCTAAAAAGGTAATGCTGAAGAAAAACATTATCAGTTTAACCTTTCAACACAATCAATTACATACAAAAAAAAGTAAACAAACAGGCATGAAGCTAAAATTACAACTGATAAAAAAGTCTGCCCTTAAAAACTTGCGAACATCTAAAAATTTAGCAGAACACCTATAGCACAAAAATCTAAAAAAAAGTTTTTTTGTATTTGTTTTTCATTTCCCAGTTGTTTCTGCTTTACTAGCGGCCTGCAACATTTAATAGCAACTTAGAAACTGAGAAAAGAAATGATTGGAATTCCAGTGCTGAATAAATTCCACTGCAAAACCAGTGACCATAGCCAGTCGTTGTTTGCCAAAAGTCGTCAATATACTTGGTTGCTTGCTTGCTTTACTTGCATAACACTCTTTTAAAAGGCAATACCCCTACTCGGGAG